CCCGGATCTATGGGTGCCCTAACCCAAATCCATTGACCTCTCCAGTCCTTGTCTGAAGAGTCATTTGGCCACATGGTCAAGTATTGGGGCCGGGACTCAATCCGATACCACCCAGAACCATGGCTTCCGTGCCCACTCTGAATATTTGGCACTAGCCGATGGAGCTTTCTGAAGCAGTGCAGGTTCGGCACGTATCTGAAGAACTTGCAGACCCATAAGTATGTCATCACCCTTCGGATACTGGTGGGGGTTAGCTGACATAGGGAAATGTTGTAATGGATCAGCAAGTCTCGGACGAAAACGTCCAAAGGGAACCTCAGCCCATACTGAAGCTGTCTCGTGTACACCCCCACATACCCCGGGGGTGGACGATGGATTCTATCGGATGCTGAGGGCATTCGGCACCAATATCCATCAGCTTCAAAAATGCCGTAGTGCAACTCAATTTGCTCGGCAAATCGATATTGATCGGCGTTCTCTACCCACCATGAGTAGGGGCGGTTCTTTATCATGGCCGAAGCGACTTCGGCATTCTCCCACTCTGAAAACCCAGGGAGGATATCCCAAAGGACAGCGGGAATTTCATCGTCCCGTCCAGAAGCACTCGGCTCATCCGTTCTTTGAGGAGGAGCCGAGGAAAGGGGAGTCGCCCTAATCCCATCAGCAGGGTCAGACTCCGGCCTTCGACCATTCCAGGTCCCAATCCTATTCCTAGGATCGGGAATCGGCCTTGCTCTTCTTGGAGCACGGGCTCTACCTCTAACTCCTCTTGCCATGGACTATTTCGAAGAGAAAAGTCGAAAGAAGAGGGGAAGGAGTTCGAATTCGAAGAAAAATAAACTGAAATCAAAGGAATTTACCTAATCTGAAGCGAAAGTTGCCGATTTACGAGTTCGTAGTGGCAAGTCTCAGCTTCTAAGCTCAATGCTCGGGGGAATTTGCGAAGTTTTGATACGGGTTCTTGGATTCTCTCTCGAAGAATTCTGGGTTTGTGTTGGTGAATCAGTGAGGAGAATGACGCGCCTCTGTTTATATCTCCAGGTACGGGATACGAAGAGTCTGTGCTTTAATTTCTCTTAAGTACCCACTAAGTAACCATTAAACACATGTCTTGTGATTAAACCGCCCATTATCCGTCCAACTTCCGCAAATCATTAACCGTTGTTATCTCATTAATTACGGTTTAAATTCAAATTTTTGGATCAATTAAATCATTTACTTCCCTCCTTTTCTGAGTTAAATCAAACCCGACCCGTCATTCTTCCGAATCGGGTCTGGGGGGCAAGTTGTTTGGGTCCAATTTAGTCAAAATTGGGCCTGAGCACTAAATGATCCAATTAAAAGCCCAAGGTCAAGGTTCAACTCTCCAATTGCTCAAAAGTCAAAAGTCAGCCCACAAAGTAAGCCAATTGGGCTAAAGCCCAACCTCTCCAAATATGATGAGGTATAAAAGCCCTCATATTAACACATTCAAGGAGAGAGTCATATTCTTACATAAGACATCTCATAACATCACATACGAGACACAACAACACATGCATCATCACATACATTATCTCATACACGGATTATTCCAACTCATATGCTCATTCTTGCATTGAGAAATACTCCACAAAAGCCTCAAGCTACAAACTCTCTTGCATAGTGTCTTCCTTTTTACACATTGTACTGACTTTAGCATCGGAGGGGCCTTCCTCGGAAACACCCCCGAGGCTAGTTTACGTGTGTTCACTGTGCAGGAAACCTTCGGCCCAACACAGCTTGGATCGAATCCAGTCTTCTCCATTTTAGTGGACCTTCGGCAAGGTCCCATTGTTTTCAACCGAAACATCCTCTATTCCTATCTTCTTGTAATGAAATTCATCTTGGCAACGCAGCTATGATAAGTCATGTAGAAGCCTGGCTAAAAGAGTAAAAGTCGATTATGACTTATGAGACTATGTCTAATTGGCAAGCTTTATTTTTGTTACAATTGTTTTTTTTTTTGACAAATTGTTACAAATAATGTTTGTATACAGTACTATATATATAGTAGGATTTATAAAGTTAAAAAAAAAAAAAACCTATAGGTATTGTTACGTTGTTTATATCCATACATAAATTAAAATTTCAAAGAAAATCTCATGAAATGCACATTATTTAAAACCTTTTAAGAATATTTTTTATGTAGATAATTACTCCGTATAATCTTTTGCAAATCCTTTTTACTTTTTGTTCTATTTTTATAAAAAAGGTACAACCATAAAACTATTAAGAATAATGGCTTAAATTTCTCAATTTTTTTTTAAGTTTTACTTTTCATATTTACGTAAAAACAATACTCCGTATTTATTTTTACTTTATATTTTTACATAAAAAAATATTATTAGAGACTTAAAAAGTCATTTCTTTTAATTGTGCTAGATTCACATTTCTACAAAACTGAAAATCTAATTTCATTTGGCATTAATGAGATTGTGCAAAGGTTCAGTAAAGGCCAAAGTGCAAAAGTCAATACACCTTAAGTGCAAATCCCTTTCAAAAGAGGGGCTGTTGCCTGTTGTTGTCTTGTTATGCTTTGGTAACAAAGAGAAGATAAGATGATGTTCTAGACTTCTAGTCACTCAAAATTGGCCTACCAATAATTTTAAGTTTAACTATTTTGGACTAACTATGTTTTTACGTTGCTCAAGCTCCTACTTAATAATATAAGCCTGTCTCGATTAAGTACTATGGGATGATTTTTATTTATATTTAATTAATTATTTTTATTTTTTAACTCAATTCAGTTAGATTAGAAATTTGGTTAGATTCAATATAATGTTATCATATAATCTAGATTTATTAATCTTTGCATACAACTACAATAAATCTATTGCGAGTTGAAACATACAAGTTCAAATTTATAAATAACCTTTTCTTTTATACCTAACAAGTTATAGATGAAATTTTCATCTCTTTACTACTTCAAGTCTTCGCCGTTCTCTCTCCTCTCCTAAAATCCTCTCTTCTCTCTCCTCCTATTTCAACTTTCCCCTTTAAAACCAGCTCGTCGGAGTTCCGGCGCCGCGGTCGTACTCCGGCGAACTCCGGCGAGCCTCCTCCTCTTCTTTCTTATTCTTCTGCTTCTCTTCTGTTTTCTTTTCAATTTTCCCTTCTTGGTTTAGGCGGTTTCCTCACACTCGCAAAGCCGACGACGCCGTCACCTTCTTTCTTGAGGATTTTAATCCTATTTTGAGGTGTTTGTGTGAGCCTATCCTAGTTTACGAAGGTTTCGAGGGGAGTTTTCAGATCGTCCGACTCTGATGCCGTTTCCCACCTTTGCGTGGAAGGTTAGTGTTCGTTCAAAGGGTCTCTCCGCCAGTGAAACAAGGCTTAAGGACTAGGCCTAACGCCGTCATTGGTCATCGGTAATATTGACCGTGACAGAAACGGTAAAGTTAAGGTTAGGGTTTCGTGGGTTCTTGCGGCCTAATGCCGCCGTCAAGAGAAGTTCGTGACGGAAACGATGAAGTTAGGGCTAGGGTTTCGAGGTTCCTCGTGTTCGTGGTTTCGGGTTTTTCGATTTGGACGGTGCTCTCCTCTGATTTGTTCTCTTTCCTAAGTATGTTTTTTCTTAGTAATTATCAGAGTTTACTTGTCTTAGTTTGTTTTATGGTATATTTTAGCCTCCTTTGGTTGTTTTTCGGGCTATTGAGTTGTTTTGGCTATAGTATTTTGGATGGTTGTGTGCAGAGGGAGTTAAGATCCTTTGTTAAGGATTCTGGTGTGGTTATAGTGGTAAGAGAGTTTACAGGTGTGGTTGTTGGGGGTTTGAACAAGAAGTTGGCCTTGGCTAAGGTGAAGTGTGTATCTTGTTGGAGTGGTATTGGTTTGGTTTCTTTTCCCTCGATTGTAATGATTCTTGTGATCATTACTTTTGAATTTTGTTATCTGAAGCAGGCGCCAAAACTTTGGGGTTTCTCGAGCCTCGACATTGTCAAAGCTTTCTTGCCAACAAGGAAAGCTATTGATTGGAAGGTCACTAGTTCAAGTGACCCGTTTGAAGACCTTACTTGGTGATGAGTTGATCCCGCCAGGTAAGGAAATGCTAGCCATGGTAAAACAGTTTTGATTCTCTCTGTTGCTCTCTTTATGGTGTGTATTATGTTTTTGCTCCTTGGTTTGTAAGGAGTCCCTAATTTGCGACATGTCCGGCCAATTCAAGTTTAATATTGTATTTAATCTCAAAAGTTGTTGTAACGACTTAAGTGTTAAAAGCCCACTTTAAGTTTTAGTTCTTGTTCTGTATTTTGTAAACTCTGATTTTATAAATATATTTGCTATCGTCACAAAAAAAAAAAAAAAAAAAAAGAAAAGAAGTTATAATAACATGTACTTTACTTTTCTCAATTTTTGTTTACTTATTTTGATGATAAGAAACAAAGGAGTGTCAATTATATTAGCAAAGAGGATCAAGTGGAAGCTTAATGATTTCGTTACCCCAAAGTCCCCATTCGCCCCAGCTTCACAATTGAATCATTCTGGTGTTCTTTTCAATTGCGAAGCTATAAATTATGAGTCATGACTTATGAACTTATGAAGTTATGATTAGTAAATTTTTGAATACTTGGTTAAAAAAAAATAAAAAAATGCTATCGTTAAGTCCAATCAAATGTAAAAATAGAATATTAGAATAAATTTTGTGCAAATTAAATGCAGAATAAAATAAGTATCTTGCTACCAAATATCCCCGGGTCAAGAGAGTGAGGGGTAGCTCAGTTGGTAAGAACTTCCCTTCCGGTTTCAGGTGATTTTGGGATCGATTCTCATCCCCGCCTTAGTGGCTCATATGAACCAAAAAAAAAAAAAATATCCCCGGGTCAATAGATAAGCATTTAAAATATTTATTAAAGTGGTATTAATTTAGGAATGCATATCAAAATTTCCCGTCTATACATTATTTCTACCTTTTGTTTTCTTATTCAACGCTAAATGTTCGTTAACTTCTAATAATAATATATGTAATGCTTTCTTATCTGATAAGTTCAAACAAAATAATGCAACCTTATATTTATAGATCGAAAGATATGCCCAATCATCAATTCATCTCATCTCAGAAAAAATAAAAATAAAATTGGAAATCATAAATTCATCATCCTTCATCTCTCCAACCCAAAACCATGTTTTATCTACTGTAATATGAGTCGAGAATCTTACTCCATAGTCCTTGTTAATCCTGACGTGTCGGTCGACCATGTCAAAATTTTATCCATGTCTACCCCACGCTCCTTTATCTAGTTTTTTTATTTTCCTACAAAAATTAAAATATTCTCCACTCCTATTTTTGAGGCTCTATAAATTCACACTCCAAATTTCTTCATTACATTCTCATTTCCTCCATATTTCCTATCCTCTACTCTTAAACAGCATTTGCTGAAATTATTTAAAAATTTCTCTCTTACCATTGTTTCCAACTCCCTTTTTATCAGGTATATTTTTATCTCTCTTTTAATTAATTAATTATTATTAATGCTTTTTTTTTTTCCTAGTTTTTTTTGTTTAAAATTTTCCTGTATATATTTAGATGGGGTTTAAGGGTGCCTAAAATTTGATAATCTAATTATTGTGCATGAATAACCAATGCCATTGATTTCCAAGATTGCATCTTTTTAATTTCTGATTATATTCATGTTAATTTATCGAACTGTCAGTCCGATACAAGAATTTGAATTCCTAGTTAATGTTATTGAGTTTATAATTTCTCCAATATGTAAATTATAAACCCATTATTAATACAATAATACACCATTTTCTGGTTGAGTAGGTTGACCTGTTGACTAATGTATTCAAATCCCTTGGCTTTTATGATTGGATAATGCCTCATTTAGGCAATGGTTTTGATCTATTTGAGGTCTTAATATGCATTTCAGATTTTTTTTTTTTTTTGAAATTAAGATTGTTCAGATATTTTATATTATTATTTTTATATGTCAAGAAGAAATGTTTCATTTTCTGTATAGTTATGAGTTTATGACGATTCATATTAGTCGATCCAAATCATTTTAGAGTTGAGGCTTTGTTGTTGTTGCTGTTTTCAACTTCTCATGGCAGGACATTATATATGTTAAACTAAGAAAAAAAACACAAGAAAAAAAGAAAGGGGATCTCAATTTTGTTGAGCTCTATTTAGTACAAAAGGAGAAACTTTAATTGACTAGTTCTTAGAATTTTGATCTTTATGATTTTTCAATGTCTGTTAGTGGGGTAGGTGGTTACCAGGTAGGTAAATTATTAGAATTTCATTTGAGATCTATGCTTGTAATTTACTTTACTGCCCCATGTGCTAGTTTTTCACTTTCTTGCATCAAATCTACCTACCACAGCACCCCTAACATTGCATCCATGTTCTTATCATGCATATTGTATGGAGTAATGTGTATAAACGAGATTTGGTCATTGAATACCACCCCTAAAACTTTACCAACTATGCTATTCTGTAATTGACATCCACTTCATGCATGTAATATTAGCACTCGTACATGTTATGATTTGGATATTGAGACTTTTGATGTAACCCGTCATAGTTCATTTGGACGAACCATGGCTCATTGGCACTCATAAAGAGGCTTTAGCTTGAACTATATGGGCTACGTATAACATAAGTTTGGAATCACCTAACACGGAGTTAACGGGGGAAGGGGAGAAATGTAGTGCTCCTATTAGTCCTATGTGAGTCTAATTACAGCTTTCTCGTGAAGGGTTTATAGGACATTTCAAACCTTGTTAGTTAAGACAAATAGGCTTTTTTTTCATGATTTGTCCATGTTTAACTCATTGCTGGTGAAATCCTTAATTGGTTACCTTGTCAATTTTGACCCTGTATGGTTTTTTACAGTTGATCTTCCCTCATAATGGAAGTCGCTGCAGGATAATTCTGGCTACGTTTTATGGCATTGACTGGTATTATTTGCTCTAATTAATTGCTTATGACTCCTTTTACCCCTGCCTTATGTCTTTCATGATTTTGGTTGGTTTCTAGACTATGTATGAAGAATTGAGAATACGGGAATTACTTTTTTGTCGAATATTAAAAATGATCACTTTTGTGTGTTAATAGTAAATTAGAATGTAGTGTAGCATGCTGTTATTTCATAACTGTTACTGAGTAGGTTGCAATTGTAACATATGATAGGTGATTGGGCAATGTGTGGAGGGAGAAACTACTCATTGACAATTGGAAGCACCTCTAATCTCTACGGAACAGCAACAAAAGATCTTAACAGTGAAGGTTTTGGCATGGCCAATGGGCTTGGTTGGACAAAGCATATACCGTCTTCTGTACAGAAACCCTTATTGATTTCTTCATCTCCTTCTTTCATTCATTGGTCGCGTAAAATTCCTATATGTGATGGGTATCATGAGTTTCTCTAGCTGTTGTTGATAATTTTAGTTTATAACTGGAACTTAGATTTTGAGTGATAACTGGTTACTTTGTAAAAATCAGATTTTGTTGTCAACAAGGTTAAATAGCTGGAACATGCCTGGTTTTATTAGTGAAAAGAAAAGATTGACAGAGTCAAACATGTGCTTTGCAAATCACTCAAAAGACGCTCGTGGGATTAGGTCTCGAGTTGTGGATGATCGCTATGTCCCCATTTTGCCGGGGCTTCCTGATGATGTGGCGAAGTTATGCCTTGCACTTGTCCCTCGAAATTCCTTTCCCTCAATGGGTGCTGTGTCTAACCAATGGAGGTCATATATTCGAAGTAAGGAGTTCATTACCATCCGAAAGCAAGTAGGATTGCTGGAGGAGTGGCTCTATTTGTTGACCATCGATGAAGAGGGAAAAGAGAGCCAGTGGGAGGTATTGGATAGTGTCGGTAACAAACACCGAGTTCTTCCACCCATGCCTGGTGAATTTAAGATGGGATTTGGTGTCGTGGTTCATCATGGGAAGCTGCTAGTAATGGCTGGCTGTACAGTCTCTGAAGGGGTGGCATCTCCCACTGCTGAAGTTTACCAATATGATTCCAGTCTCAACAGGTACGTTTGTATCTTCTATGTTTGCCTGTGTGCTTATGCTCTCCTGCTGATTAACATTTGTTATTGAAATATTCTCCCTACTAATTCAGATAGATTAGATTTCAGGTTATATTCTTATGGATTTTGCCAGTGGCACAAAAAATCTACGAGCTTTTGTATTTGCTTCTTGTTTCTTTATTTTCTTAGAATTATGTTGAATCTACACTTGATTACGAAGTATATTAAAAAGTTTCCTAAACAAGGAACACTGCCATGTGGCACTATTAATTTGGGATTTGATCTTGTGACCTCCACTAAATCATGTGAAAGCTTATTGACCTAGGGCATCATCCGGGCCTTAAAAACTAGTTATAGGTTCATCTTAATGTTTACAGATTGTGTTAAGTGTCATGTGCAAATAAATAGTGAAGGGAAAGAACTTTTAAGGGCGACTGGGCGAGGTAGCATATATAGAAGTCATAATAAAAAATCTATAGATTTATGCAATCAACTTTAAAATATAAAATAGCAGGTGTAAACAAGAAAATTGAGGAAAATAATTATATCTTTATTCTAAATCTCTAATGAATAAAACTTAATAGAACTACACACAGATGCAATTCGAAATATTGAATAATGTAACAAATTGAAATTTAATGGTGCATAGAAATTTCAAGAAAATATTTGAGCAATAAACCTGTTAGCTACAAATATATTTTTTTGGTGCAATGTTAGCTACAAATATAAAAAATAATCTAATTAATGAAAATGATGGATGAGATTGTTGTGCGACAGCGGAAGCAAAGGTCGAAAACAAACAAGAAAACAATAAAGAAATTCAATGCAAACAATAAGAACAACACCAAGAATTTACGTGGTTCACTATCGATGTGATAGCTACGTCCACGGGCACCGAGATCGAATGATTTCACTATAAACTGCAAAGATTACAAAGATGATTCTTGTATTTCTCAAGAACGGCTCTCACTCTATCTCTCTTAACCCTAATACTGATATTAGGGAGGTTTTATATTAATCCCTAATTAAAAGATACTTGGGCAAAAAGATAATAAAATAAGATAACCTAAAACCGCAAAATCCGCGTTCCGTATTTTTCCTTCTCCGCCCGGTCAGACCGGGCAAGGTCTGCCCGATCGGGCGCGAGAAGAAAACTCCATACGAATGCTTCAACGTATCCAACCCCCACCGCCCGGTCAGACCGGGCAAGGTCTGCCCGATCGGGCGAAGGCTCGCCCGGTCGGGCGAAGGCTCGCCCGGTCGGGCGCGAGAGCAGCTTCTTCAACGAATTTGCCAGGCACCTCTTCTTCTTCCGCCCGGTCAGACCGGGCAATGTCCGCCCGATCGGGCGGACAAAGCTACGAAGTACGAGTCACCTAATATACTTATCAACAATCTCCACCTTGACGAGAACTCGTAGTCAGCAAACGACCCCATCAAGACATAGTGAAAAAAAACATCTCAAGCCAAACCCGATGCAGGACTCATGCATAAGCCATACATCCCGATAAGTCTTCAACCAAGACCCATCACATACTCGTCTCCAAGTATAACAACTCATAATGCTCCACCTGCATCACAAGCCCCGGGCAAGCTCCACCTTAAGGCCAACACACCTACACCAGGAGCTCCCCAACTTCGCCCCTCAGGGCCTACTACATCACGTAGTAATCAATATTTAACAAGTCTAAGCAATGTTTAAACTTGCTAAACGGAACAGGCTTAGTGAAGAAATCAGCCGGGTTGTCAGCAGTCCCAATCTTCTTCACCTTAATCCTCTTGTCAGTACGTAAGAAATGATACCTGACATCAATGTGCTTCGTCCGATCATGGTGTACTTGATCTTTAGCTAAGCAAATCGCACTTAGACTATCACAATACACTGTAGCAAAATCCTGTGCAATACCCAGTTCACCTACTAGGCCTTTGAGCCAAATAGACTCCTTAGCTGCAGAAGTTAAAGCCATATACTCAGCTTCAGTAGTTGACAACGTAACTGATGACTGCAATGTAGACTTCCAACTAACCACAGAACCACCCAAAGTGAACACATAACCAGTCACAGACCTCCTGGTATCCACATCAGCTGCATAATCAGAATCACTGTACCCAGTGACCAAGCATTCCTTATCATTCCCGTACACAAGACCAATATCAGCTGTCCCTCTCAGGTAGCGAAAAATCCTTTTCACCCCTTGCCAGTGTTCCCTCCCAGGTCGAGCCATAAACCTGCTTACAACACTAACGGCATGCGCAATATCCGGCCTAGTACAGACCATAGCATACATCAAACAACCAACCGCGTTTGCATATGGAACTCTAGACATATAAGACAACTCCTCCTCTGATTGAGGTGACATAGACAAAGACAACTTACAACTAACAGTAGTTGGCGTACTTATAGGCTTCGATTTTTCCATCCCAAAACGAGACAGAATCTTTTCAATGTAGCTTTTCTGAGTCAAGAAAAGCTTACCTCTAGCCCGATCCCTGTAGATCTCCATACCCAAAATCTTCCTAGCTGCACCCAAGTCTTTCATGTCAAACTCCGAGTTAAGCATCTCCTTTAATCTTTTGTACCACTGTCGGGGGGATTGCTTAAGTCCATACAATGACTTTAGCAATCTGCAGGCATAGTGTTCCTTTCCAGGAGCTTCGAATCCTTCGGGCTGCTTCATCAGAATCTCCTCCTCCAAATCGCCATGAAGGAAGGCCGTTTTAACATCCAACTGCTCCAGCTCAAGATCAAAATGTGCTACAATTGACAATAACACACGGATAGAAGTATGTCGAACCACAGGTGAGAATATCTCAACAAAGTCAACCCCTTCTACCTGACTGAACCCCTTAGCAACTAGCCTAGCCTTAAAACGTATTTGCTCAGTTTCCGACAACCCTTCTTTCTTCTTGTAAATCCATTTACAACCCACAAGCTTCCTCCCTTCCGGTACCTTTACCAGTTCCCACACTCTGTTCTTGTAAAGAGACTGCATCTCTTCACCCATTGCGGCAAGCCATTGCGCAGACTCACTACAACTAATTGCTTGTTTATATGTGGCAGGTTCAAATGACTCTACATCATCAGCTACACTCAATGCATAACCTGTCATCGCATCAACACAGCAATTTCTTCCCTCCATCTCTTCAATCAATCTAACAGGCTTCTTGATAACTCGTTTAGGCATCTCAAGAATGGTGTCAGGTTGACTAGATGACCCCTGATTAGATTGCTCCACCTCATCCCCAGAGTTAGAATGAGTAGGAGTAATCTCAGGTTCAGGAGTACCCGGCACTGGAACATCAGCATCATCATCAATATATTGTACCCGAGGTAAATCAGCAATGGTAGACTGATGTACCTCAAGTACCCCATCTGTCTGTAATAAATTGTCTCCTTCCCTTCTCAAATCTGAAATCTCTGCATTTTTAATTGAATACATGGTGTTTTCATCGAAAGTAACATCCCTACTAAGAATGACCCGACCCTCCGAAGGTGAAAAAATTCTAAACCCCTTCACACCATCCCCGTACCCAACAAAACACCCCTTCTTGGCTCGTGGATCCAGCTTACCCTCAATAACATGATAATAAGCAACACAACCAAAAATCTTCAAATTCGAAAAATTAGGCAACTTACCACTCCAGATCTCAAACGGAATTTTGGAATCAATTCCAGAATGAGGACCCCTATTAATGACATAACAAGCTGTTAACACAGCTTCACTCCAGTACCTCCTCCCAAGCCCTGCATTAGAGAGCATGCATCGAACTCTCTCTAGCAGTGTCTGATTAACCCGTTCTGCTACACCGTTCTGCTGTGGTGTCTTCCTGACAGTATGATGCCGACCTATACCCTCATCTGCACAGAACTGATTAAACTCGTCTTTGCAAAACTCTAGCCCATTGTCCGTTCGTAGCTTCTTGATCTTCCTTCCTTGTCGATTTTCCACCAAAGCTTTCCATTGCTTGAAAACTTTGAAGGCCTCATCCTTTGACTTAAGCAACCTAAGCCATGTGTATCGGGACTTGTCATCAACAAATGACACAAAATAGTGGTAACCTCCCATACCTTCAACTCTAGATGGACCCCAGCAATCTGAATGGATGTAATCGAGCACTGCATCAGTAATGTGAGCACCCTTGCTGAACTTTGACCTGTGTTTCTTACCAAACACACAAGGCTCACAAAATTCAAGGTTGGCAACCTTGACCCCGGATAGAAGACCCCTCTTGGACAATAGCTGCATCCCCTTCTCCCCCATATGACCAAGCCTCATGTGCCAAATCTTAGTCATCTCCTGGTGAGATACAGATGCGCAAACCGCAGAACTAGGCAGTGTAACACCCTCAAAAACATAGAGGGTGTTCCTTTTGATACCCTTAAGTACCAACTCAGAACCTCTGAAAATACACAACTCCCCATCTGAAAACACACCATTGTACCCCAAGTCATCCAGGGTACCCAATGAAATCAGATTCTTTCCTAAAGCAGGAACATGCCGTACATTAGTCAAAGTTAACCTCCGCCCATCAACAGTCCTCAACCTCATGGAACCAATACCTGTGACCTTACATGGAGCATTGTTACCGACTATAACCATACCCCCATTGCGAGGTTCATATGTATCAAACCAATCTCGACGTGGACACATATGGAACGAACACCCCGAATCTAGAACCCAGTTATCAGATAAATCATCAGACCTAGCAGAACTGACTAATGCTAAATCTTCCTCTGAATTATAGCTCTCATTCGGTTTCTCTTCAACTACAGCAGCCTGGGACTTGTTTTTCCTCACCGGACAATTATTCCTAAAGTGACCCGGTTCTTTACAGTAATAACATGTTTTAGTAGTAGTTTTACTAGATCCATCCTTGCCGTTTCCAGCACCCGACCCAGCATTGTTCCCCTTGTTAAACCCCTTATTCTTTTTAGACTTTCCGGACTTAACAAATAACCCACTACCATTATCCCCATTATCACTCGTAGCTTTCATTCTGAGTTCCCTAGTATGAAGTGCTGCCTTCACTTCTTCTAAGGTTATAGAATCCTTACCAACAACAAAAGACTCTACAAAATTCTCAAAGCTAGACGGTAGAGATACAAGTAAAATCAACGCAGCATCCTCATCATCAATTTTAACATCTAAATTACGTAAATCAAGCAAAATAGAGTTAAGTTTTTCTAGATGTTCCCGTAAGGAAGTACTTGACTGCATCCGGAGGCTAAACAACCGCTGTTTCAGTAATAATTTGTTGGTCAACGACTTAGTCATATACAATGACTCCAGCTTCAGCCACAATCCAGCCGCCGTTTCCTGATCAGCAACCTCCGTGATGATTTGATCATCAAGACTAAGTAATATGGTAGAGTGTGCCTTCTCTTCCATAACTTCTAACTGCGAGTCAGTCGGTCCGTCTCCTGACTCCGAAGTAGTACTCTTTGGAGCCAACGGACGCCATATCTGCTGTTGTTTTAACAGAGCCTTCATCTTAATTTGCCATAGCCCGAAACTATTTTTCCCGGTAAACTTCTCAATTCTTATTGTTGAATCTCCTGCCATTGTTATCTTCAAGAAACTCTCCAAGGATTGAACCTGAGCTCTGATACCAATTGTTGTGCGACAGCGGAAGCAAAGGTCGAAAACAAACAAGAAAACAATAAAGAAATTCAATGCAAACAATAAGAACAACACCAAGAATTTACGTGGTTCACTATCGATGTGATAGCTACGTCCACGGGCACCGAGATCGAATGATTTCACTATAAACTGCAAAGATTACAAAGATGATTCTTGTATTTCTCAAGAACGGCTCTCACTCTATCTCTCTTAACCCTAATACTGATATTAGGGAGGTTTTATATTAATCCCTAATTAAAAGATACTTGGGCAAAAAGATAATAAAATAAGATAACCTAAAACCGCAAAATCCGCGTTCCGTATTTTTCCTTCTCCGCCCGGTCAGACCGGGCAAGGTCTGCCCGATCGGGCGCGAGAAGAAAACTCCATACGAATGCTTCAACGTATCCAACCCCCACCGCCCGGTCAGACCGGGCAAGGTCTGCCCGATCGGGCGAAGGCTCGCCCGGTCGGGCGAAGGCTCGCCCGGTCGGGCGCGAGAGCAGCTTCTTCAACGAATTTGCCAGGCACCTCTTCTTCTTCCGCCCGGTCAGACCGGGCAATGTCCGCCCGATCGGGCGGACAAAGCTACGAAGTACGAGTCACCTAATATACTTATCAACAGAGATCAACAACCTTAGTAGCAAGCTAGCTGATCGAGTGGTGTGTTGTGTCTTGATGACATCCATGTCATCAACCCTTTTGAGCATGACATCTCTAGCATGTGAACTTTACAAATAATTTGTGCAGTGATTGATAGCATTAAGCACTGTCCTTATATTGTTCTCCATGTTTAGCCTCTTCGACTCTTTTTCTTAAGTCATTGCTTGCTTCCAATGCTTGGTTCAACCCCAAGACAGAATCAGCGATCACGCTACTGCATTTATTAAGGAAATTGATTTCATGGTTTTGAGTTTAGGTTGTTTAGCCTAGCGGGAAAGTTTGCTAGACACAGTTTGAACCTCAGTTATGAATTCATTAAGAGGACAAACCCCTATTTGAATAGAATTAGGATTCTAGGTTGGCTAGAAGATAGAATTGTATTGCTAGCGGTATGAATCTATATTTCTAATCAAACTAAAATATACAAGTACATAAATATATCTAAGATTATTACGTATGTAAACAATTAAATTTAAAAGTCGAATCACCTATCTAATACATAAACATTATAACACAATATTATACAAAGTATAAACCCGAGGCATCACCCGGGCCAAATATGAGTTAACTCTGAAATTTTATGATCTTGATGCTGATTTTTGTAAAGAAGAAAAACGTTTGTTGCTTATCTCAAACTATTATGTGTGTTGTCTGCAATATATCTCATCTTATGTACTTTGAGTCTATCTTTAGTTAATCTAGTTCTGTAATGTTTATGATTTCAGCTGGAGCAAGCTGTCAAGTATGAACGTTGCACGTTATGATTTTGCATGTGCTGAAGTTAGTGGGATGATCTATGCTGTGGGAGGCTATGGCATGGACGGTGAGTCTCTGTGCAGTGTTGAGGTATACAATCCTGATACTGACGAGTGGACTCTGATAGAGTCCCTTCGCCGCCCAAGGTGGGGCTGTTTTGCCTGTGGGTTTGAGGGCAAGCTGTATGTTATGGGCGGGAGGTCAAGTTTCACTATCGGACACTCAAAGTTTGTTGATGTGTATGACCCAGATAACCACACTTGGTGTGAGATGAAGAATGGTTGTGTTATGGTTACTGCCCATGCCGTGCTAGGTGAAAAGCTGTTTTGCATGGAATGGAAGAACCAAAGGAAATTAACTATATTCAACCCTAGGGACAGTTCATGGAAGATGGTACCCGTGCCAGTAACTGGAAGCTTGAGTATTGGGTTTCGGTTTGGTATACTTGATGGTAAGCTTTTGCTCTTCTCGCTTAAGGATGAGCCTGGGTATCGGACTCTGCTGTATGATCCCGAGGCAGCCCCAGGCTTGGAGTGGATGACCACTGATATCAAACCCTCAGGTGCATGCTTGTGTAGCGTGACTATGAGGGCATGAATGTAGATGGCAGTTTGTCATTTGCTGCCTGACATGTATTTCCTTTTTCATGTTGTACCTGTGTAATTTGTCTCATTGCACTTGTACAATTGTTCTAGTTGCTTTCGAGTTTGTATGTTCCTGATGTTTGACGTAGTCTATTATGTATAACTTAACCCTTTCGGTCTTTGCCATGGATGTTAGATTTGGTGTGTTTTTGACTGTAAAATAGGCACTCATATAATTTAATAGAATATGTTGCAATTTCTATCTCTTATTTCTTGCCAATATTGCGAGATATGGCAGTCATTTTTTTTAGATATAACGATAAAGTTTATATGTTGATGTGCAAATTCACAATATTGGTACTAGGCTCATGGAGTCATGGGGATGCATAGTCACTAGTCAGGAGTACATGATTTTGAGTTCAGTTCTACCCAAGGAATGAAGATATGTGTGCATTATAGAAAAGGGAAAGAGGGTGGATTTGACTTTGAGCATTTGATCAGCCTTATGTGTGTGTTATGTGTCTATAAAAAGTCATCAACCAACTTGAAATTTCAGTTTCACCCAAGGAATGAAGTTATGTGTGTCAGTGTGTGTTATGTAAATGAACTAGTGAGTCGGTGACTATTTTTGTAGAGGACATTACTTGGTAAATTGGTAATATCATGCTTTAAATAATCCATATTTGATCCGGATTAAGACGCAATTAAAATGAAAACTCTCACAACAAATATTGTTGCGTTTTAAGGGAACAGGTTTGGGACCACGATATTAAGATTCAACAATCTACGTACAGTAATACAATGTTTTAAGGCTCAAATTCAAAACTTATAATTAACACAAAACAACTCCTTTACTAATTGATTCAATCACTTGTTATTCGTTAACGAACAAACCATTATACTCTATATAAACATACTTTATGAAATTACAAGATATTAAAAACAAATACTCGTATATACATTTTCATTTTCAATAAATTCATCCATCACTCACTAATCACTACATTAGATTCACAAAGTTTATAATCAAAACTCAAAAAAACCCTCCAAAATCCAAAACCAAAGGAAACAAAAGAAAATCCGTTTTCCCTCAAAAACCTCAATCAATTTACATTTTTTACACTCTCTCTCTCTCCTTTTCTCTCGCCTCCGCAAAAATGTTCGGAGCATCTTCCTCCGGCTTCGGCACACCGTCGTCAACTCCGGCATTCGGAGCGCCGTCGTCAACTCCGGCCTTCGGAACGCCGTCATCAACGCCGGCCTTCGGAGCGCCGTCGTCAACGCCGGCGTTCGGAACTCCATCATCGACGCCAGCTTTCGGAACTCCGTCGTCGACACCTGCTTTCGGTGCGACTCCTTCGACGCCGGGTTTCGGAACTCCGTCTTCGCCTTTTCTCGGATCTTCTCTCTTCAATACTCCCTCTCCTTTTGGTCAGAATACTCAACAGCAGCAACAAACGACGCCGTTTTCGCAGCAGAATACCGGATTTGGGTTCAATTCGACGCCGTTTCAGACTCCTCAACAGCAACAACAACAACCGCAGCAAACGACGCCGTTTACTCTTTCTGGTGCTCAGCAGCTCACCACTCAAATGGCTCCTGTTGCTCCTTTACCTTTCTCCCTCGCCGAGCGCGACATTCAGGTTCGAATTACTTTGTAGGAATTTGCCGCATTTTGTTTTGAAACCCTAATTTGTCGATTTTCTTTAATTTGCTTACATTTTGATTTTTTGTTTGATTGACTATTTGTGTGTATAATTCTCGATTGTTTTTTATAATTTAGACTATTGTCGATGCATACAAGGATGAGCCTGGAAATTCTAAATACGCGTTTAAGGTTAGTTTCCCGCCAAAAATCACTCTTAAATTTAGCGTTATGGAATTCTTCAATTTTGATTCATAGAATTGTCCTTCAAGTTTGTGATGCCTTTATTATTATCTAGGATTACCGAAAAACGAAATATTGTCATATTTTTAGGCATCAGACTGATCTTTTTGTAAACTATCAGTGTGAGCTTAAGTTGTCTGAAAATTAAATTAGTCATGTGTTTTCATAATTCATGCACAACTTATTGGTGTTTATGTTTTGACGAAGATCATTTTCTAAATGTTCGGTTGTATTGATGGATGTCCGGAATAGTTGCGGGAAATATGTGCGTGTGAAGGTGGAACTGTATAAAAAAATATTGTATACATTAATTCTGTTACCGATGTATAAATTAATCTATTGTTGAGTGTCCTGCTTAGTGTCCTCATAGAGAAAAAATGTATTCATTTTTGCATATGCTTACTCTTTTTGATTTTGACGTGGCAATGGTAAACGTTTTTTTTGTTGATGTTTCAGCATTTGTTATTCAGTGTGACAGATCCAAAATTCAGAGTTAAGCCATCTGGTGTATCAGATGTAAGTTTTTTAATATGCTATGTGGTGTTATATTATGATGAGCTATATATTTTTTCTTTCGGTTTATGTTTTCTTTGAAGCACAAAATGTAACTGCAAGTTTGTGAACTTGTATTGATTTGGCCGTGGCAGATAATGTGGGCTGAGGCTATGGGGAAACTTGAGGGCATGGATAGTACGAATCGGGAGCGCTTATGGCCTCAGCTTGTAAAAGGCTTCAAAGATCTATCAAGTCGTTTGAAGGTAGTCATTCTATGCGTTTTCTATTCTATATATTTTTACTTCAAGAAGACTAGTCTTGTCTTGTCGATTATAAATGCGTTCTTGCGAAAAATCCATTGGTTAGTTTGTCTGATAATGAATTTATGTGTAATTTATCAAGCAAAGTTCCATGGTGATACGACTCCATCCTTAGTTTTCGAAGGCGTGAAGTGCAAGGCCAAAGCGTGAACCTTTCACAGTGCACTTTAAGTGCCAAAATACCTCCAAAATCAATTCTGGATATAAATTGTATTCAAAACAACATAACTCTTATACTTCCTCTGTTTCGTAATATAATGTCAATTTCATTTTGCACCGTCTTCATCTTAACAATTAATACCTCTAATTATATATTAGAAAAGTTATAGAAACATTGTCATTTTAAAATTACATTATAAGACAAATCTAGCAATATCTCATATGACTGTTTTTTATGTATATATTAATGAGAATTTTTGGTGAAATTTTTATAGTTCAACCTTGAACTTGAAAATGAGCATTATATTATAGGATAGAGGGAGTATTATTAAAGCCTAATTTGACAAAGGAAAGCACAATTGGTTGTGACTTGTGAGCTATTGTTAAAATGCAAAGTGCTAGGAAATAGCTTAAACTAAAACAAAATAAACTTAAAATAAAGCTGTAGAAAAAAAGCAAACATAATAGTTAAACTTCTATATTAACATGACCTCATATTCTTCAAAGAGGGCATTTTCCTTGAGTAAATTTTAGTTGGTTAGCTATGAATTATTGCTCCCCCCCCCCCCCCCCCCCCCCCCAATCCCCAATTTCTAGCCTTTCGTGCTCACCAATTATCTGTAACAATTGCTGGTGGCTAAAAGAGCCTCATTTTAACTGTAAGGGTAAGGCTAAAAAGAGCTTCCTCTAAATCCCCCCAGGGGGACTTCCTATCTACAGGAAACCTTCAAACTTGTATTCTCTCATTCTATGTATGCTTGATGGAGCTTTCAGAATGATAATTGTGGGATGATAGTTCATTTATTCTTATGCATATCTTATACAACATAACAGAAATTTTCTAATCAGAGTCTAGTTTACCTGGAAGCAGTTGCAAATTTAAGGCATTCACTTTTCATGGGCAGGTCAGCAATGTACTGATTCTGTATGGCCGGATGGGATGCACAACATCTCTGAGCATATTATTTGGTTTTTATGTATGCAAAATCTGATTGTATATCTGGATTTCCCATATCTCCTTACCTTGCTTAAAGGAAGAGTCTCAGAAAAGGCATTTGCATCTCCTATGAGTAGGGGTGAGCATAACAGGGTACCCTGTTAAATTTCTTGGAACCGGAACCTGTTGCAACAGATTCCTAAAAATGAGAAACCGGAACCTGTTGTTCCTGAAAACTGGGAACCCGAACCGGAACCTGTAGGTTCCGATTCAGGGTACCCTGTCTTTTACTATATTTCGTACTTTATTTCATCTTTTTTAAAAATAAATAAATTGTAGGGTCATAAATTTATAGTTTGCAAATAAAACAAATAAAAAATAGGTGTTTACCAAATTTAATACATATAGTTATAACAATTATTTTTATTTATATTAAGTAAAAATTAGGCTTAAATTGATATATGATTTGGGCTTAAGTAACATTTTTATTAGGTTACAGGTTACCCTACAACAGTGTTTGAAAAAGCGCGCCTATGCGCAAGACGATCAGGGGTGAGCGCTTATTTTGGTCTAGGCAAGGCGTTTTGGGTTAGGCGCACAAAAAGCGCTGCGCCTCAGCCAAAATTTTTTAATTGCCCATATAGTGCGCCTCACTTCAAAGAGCACTGAGGCGCACCTAGGCGCAGCAGAACCCCTCTCGCTTTAGTGCGCCTTTGAGCTTTTTATACATTGCCCTACAAGTTCCGGTTCAAAAAATCCGAGAACCTAAACCGGAACCTGTTGCAACAGGTTCTCTATTTATTACCCAGAACCGGAACCTCTTGTACAGGTTCTGGTTCCGATTCAGGGTACCCTGAATTTTTGCTCACCCCTACCGATGAGTACCTTATTTAGTTATATATATGCTTTAATCTGAAGGAAATGAAAAAGTGAGTGTTAGGCATGTGGCTCTGACTTTGATCAGGTGGTGTTAGTATCTTCTGCGTGTGGTCATTCTGTTATGTTCAGTTGATTTTTAGAAACTGTTGTTAAATAGGCATCTTTTTATCTGAACATTTCATTCCAAAGTTCACAAATTATTGCTGAAAGCCTGAGATCTTGAAAAACTGGAATTTTATCAAGGTATAAACTCCTTTCCCTCACCCCCCCCCCCAACATCTCTGAGCATATTTTTTGGTTTTTATGTATGCAAAATCTGATTGTATATCTGGATTTCCCATATCTCCTTACCTTGCTTAAAGGAGGAGTCTCAGAAAAGGCATTTGCATCTCCCATGAGCACCTTATTTAGTTATATATATATGCTTTAATCCGAGGGAAATGGAAAAGTGAGTGTTAGGCAGGTGGCCCTGACTAGGCTAATATTCGATCAGGTGGTGTTAGTATCTTCTGCATGTGGTCATTTTGTTATGTTCAGTTGATTTTTAGAAACTGTTCTTAAATAGGCATCCGTTTATCTGGATATTTCATTCCAAAGTTCACAAATTATTGCTGAAAGCCTGAGGTCTTGAAAAACTGGAATTTTATCAAGGTATAAACTCCTCCCCCCCCCCCCTCCTCTCATGATTAGGTCACCTTGATTAGTTGATAAAAATTTCATACTGCATCTTGGCAGGTCCTTAGCTATCTGTTTATTGAGTTGAATTTGCATACGTTAAAATGTTATCTAGAATTTCTTTCTGATGTGGACCTGCATTTGTACTCTTTCTATTTGACTCATGAAAATAATCCTCAGAAGTCTCTAAATATGTATGACTTTCTTGAAATGAAAAAGGAAGTGAAAAGGACTTGCATTTGTTAGTCAACATAGATTGTCCAAATCTAGCTGTTCCTGATTGATTCTGCTCTTGCACTATTTTGATTTACTCATGAGTAGAAGTCCATTTTTACTCCTCAACTAATTTGCATCTCTCCATTTTGGCTGTAGCTATGTTTGCCTGTAATCTTTCTTAGAAAGGAAACTAAATACAGACATTTTGCTTAGGTGGTTTGGGAAGGGAAAAGGACATGTGAAGCATAACTCTGGCCTATTTATGTGTTGTAGAAGTTTGGACCTGTGAAGCATAACTCTGAGGTTATAATGTAAATTGTGTTAAACATTTACAAAAATCAGTGAAGTTGGATGCATTTTCAGTGTTGCAAATATTTGTTTTTCTATGAGTGCTCTGCCTATCCTGCAATCTTGATGCCTTTTTGGCTAGAGCATGGTGGTGGATGTGGGATTGATATTGGTATGTGATCATTAGCTGTCAAGGGGGATATCCATGCCTCCTATATGTTTCAAAGGAGGTTTAGGAACTATGATCCGTCCCCCATGCTGCAATCGGATATTTTATTAAGACATCTTCAATTGATTGTTCTGGTCCATATCGCTGCAGCTTCAAGATGAAGTTATTGTTGCAGATGCAGAGAGATTGCGGATGACTCAAGGCAATGTGAAGACGGTACTGTTTATCTGTCTGCTAGTCTTCATTTTTGTATGATCATTAGTTAGTTTTTTTTTTTTTTTTTTTTTTTTTTTTTTTTTTTTTTTTTTGTAATATCATTCTACATTATGCAGCTTCAAAGGCATTTCCAAGCTGACACTCTACCTCGTATTGAGAGATTGAAGCAGAAAGAGCAAGGTCTTCAAAGACGTTTATTAAGGGTGGGACTTATGATTTTTATTGGTTATTTTGGGAGATGGTGGGGAGAATGAGGCTTCTGCTGCCATTTATGCTTATAGCTCAGAAAAGTTTCTGATTAATTTGGTTTATCTTTATAGTCTATTCTTTTTGGCTAAATAAGATGTCATTACTGCCTGTTGTACAATTCATTCAAAGAAACTTATGTCCAGGCTCCACTTATCTGCTACTTTTGTTTGCTCATGCAATAATAACCAGCAACCATCTGTAAAATGCAATAATCCTCAATGCTGATACTGTTGTTTGCTCATATGCTTTATTAGGTAATGAGAATTGTGGAGGCTCTTGAGGGAAAAGGTTGTCGTATGCCCCTAATGAAAGGGGAAGTTGAATTGGCTGAGAAGTTGGCTGCTATAGTTAGACAGGTATGTGGGTTTACTCCCCTCCGATCCCCCACATCCCTGAAGATTATTAAAGTTTTGAGGTGGCTTTTTCCTGAGAACTTTCAACTGCAGCTCAAAGGATCTGGGGCAGAACTTTCAAGGCGAGTACAAAACCTGCTGACAGTATCTCGTGTTCAGGTGAATTCCAATGGTGGTAGTATCTCTGTATACCTTCCAGGTTCAACTAAAATTCATGAGCGAAGTCTCACCGACATGCAGGAGGTTAGCATTAAAGGATCTCTTATTTTTCTGGAGTTTATGTTATGCATGAGTGGTTTGAATGTTTGATATATGGAACAATTGCTCCTTATATGATGACCTATTTCTGAATACTATATCAAATATACACACAAGAGCAAAGTGACTGTTGTGTGATTTTGTTATGAACTGACTTGACTTGACAGATTTAGTGATGTTGATTTAATGTGAAATGATGGTGATTATGAGTGATAAACTGGTAATGTCAACAAGTGACCGATACACACAAGCATTCGAGAGGCTTGCACTCTCTCAAAATACAAACGAAAATTAAAAGAGAACTCTCATCCACATTCGTCATAATGACCTATATCTAATTTTCTGCTGCAGCTAGTCCTAACAACTTATTATGCACTACCTATAATGCCCCCCTTAGGTCGGTTCATTACATTACTGATTGCCTAAACTTCCACCTTGTCCTCAGGGTGGATGATAATTAGATGCATTTGCTCGACGTTGGCACTGGAGATCACCAATTTGCCACTGTAATCGGTCTAAACAAGAGCCACACTTCAGATTGTGTTGTAGCTCTTCTTTGTTGAGTGTTATAGGCTGTCCTGGGGAATTAGAAGATTTTGGGTGGTTTGGGAGAATAAATTGTAAGGAATTTTGGTCTTAAGATTTGTTTCCAGCTGGAGATCCTTAGAATGCTCTAAGGCTTTCGCGTTGTTGGTGAAAGTTGATTTTTTTTCCTGATAAGCTTAGAATGCTCTAAGGCAAGCAATGACAAGATTATAGGCCATGAAAGAGAGCTTTTGGTTAATCTCAGATCTTCAATCTGAAGGCTAACCCCTACTTAAGTGTTTGATTACAAGAATTTTTGAATGTTCTTATGGAATATTAAATATGAGTTTGGTGGGTTTACATGTGAAATTCGAGATACCAAATAGGTCTATTAAGGCAAGTTGAAGTTTGGAAATTTGGTTCTCGGGAACTTCAAGCCTTTAGATATTTCTAAAGATGGTCAAGGGAATGTCAAAAGAAAATATCTCTTGGTGTAACTGGGTTAGATGGTGACATCTTGGATGATAGAGATGTAGTTTTTGGTTTTAGTTTGATGATAATGGGATTAGAATTATCTTCTAACCAAAGGCTACACCTCAAAGCAAATGCAGAGGGTTTAGATATCACAAACCAAAGGTTATGAAGGTGGTTTGGGGGAATGTTTTATGGATAAAGATGCTTTGTGGGGGTTATATGGTTTGAAATATCTCGCCTTAAAGGTGAAGTCTGGAAGGGTGCTTGTAGGCCATTATTGGTAAGAGGTGCTTGTTTGGTTAAGGTTGTTTGGTTGTCATATTGGAAAATACATTTCATGGTAATTACGAATGATAGGGGGCTAGGTAAATAACTTTCCATGTTATGCGGGAATATGGAATTCCCAAGGAAGTTACAATTTCTCCATTTTGGAAATTTTATGTCAACCAAACTAGGTCTTTGGTGCTACTCTATAGATATTTTTTGAATAATTTCAATTGTTGTTACGTATGTTGCCACACTTTTTTGGCTATCAACTAATGTAGTTGACTATTTTAATTTGCTTTTATTTTATCCCCTCAATAACTTTTCTTATCAGTAAATGAAATCGTGACTGTTAGTACTAAATACCAAGAGACCAAGTAGTTTTAATCTTAAGGTGATCTAGGAGGATACCAAAATCTGATGATACAGTTATTCTGAAACCCAAAAGAGAGCTTTGGGGCCATGGGAAAACTCTGGTGCTATTTTGAAGCATAGACTTTTGAGCCTTTAAAACTCTGGTCCTTACTTGAACTATAGCTACGGAAAGAGTTTATTAATCACCTCTTTGTATCTTCTTTTGGGTCTTTGTGGTACTTATTCTTAAGCTTAGTTGGGGATTTACTTCGTTAAATATTGGAAGGGAAAATATGTTCTTGTGTAATGGAAATAAAGGGTGAATTTTTTATCGTTGTTGTATGGAGGATGAGTTTATTACTTGGAAAGAAAGTAACCCGTGTTGCTTTAATGGTTCAAATTTGATGAGTCTTAAGAATCTTGAGGGTTTTAAAAGAGAGCTTATCTGCTTCAAAGATTCAAATTTGATGTCTAACATAGGATTTACAAGTGTTGGGAAAGCATGCCTGTAGTGCTGTGGTATTTTATTTTTATTTTTTTATTAAGTAAAGTACACAAAAAGTTAGAATAGTCTTCTAGAAAAAAAGAAAAAGAAGTTAGAATAGTCTTCTCTCAAGACTAGAATCTATCTTTTAAGAAAAGAAAATACTACCTTCATTACATATTATGTGCAACTTTAAGGTATTATTTGTGAGATACAAAAAATTCAAAAGTTGCACATAATATGTAACGGAGGTAGTAAGATAATATACCATCAACAAATGAATAAATATCTCCAAGAGCAACAAATAACTGTAGCCTCATTAGGTTCTGTATGATTATGACAAGACTCCACTTCTACTTTTGGATATTGTCCATAAGCAACTCGATTTTCCGGGGGCATTGTGCTTGGTGGTATTGTCTTTGGTTCACTGCTCTCGAGTCTTAAGATTTGTCATAGGCTCACCAGACGCACTAAATTTCAGTTTTGTGAACATAGTATAATTATATGTGTTTGGGTCCAATTTAGTCCAATTGGGCCTAGGCATTAAATGATCCAATTAAAAGCCCAAGGTCAGGGTTCATCTCTCCAATTGTGCTAAAGTCAAAGATCAGTCCTCAAGGCAAGCCAATTGGGCTAAGGCCCAACTTCTCGATGTATGCAAAGGTATAAAAGTCATCAATATTACATTTGTACATTCATTAAAGCAAAACCTCAAGAAATTAATTCTCTTCATAGTGTTCTCTTTCTACACACTGTACTGACTTTAGCATCGGAGGGGCCTTCCTCGGCAACACCCCCGAGGCTAGTTTACGTGTGTTTTCTGTGCAGGAAACCTTCAACTCAACATTACTTGGATCGAATCTAGTCTTCTCCACTTCATCGGACCTTCGACAAGGTCCCATTGTTTTCACCCGAAACAATTTGGCGCCGTCTGTGGGGAAGACTTTCAAAAATCTTTAAGCCAAATTTCTAACCAAGATCATCTTGCAATAATCTTAGTAGCAATGGCTAAGAACCGCAAGAGCAAAGGCCTCCGTCAAGGAGCAGGCGAAAAGCCTAAAACCCCTACACCATCACCCTCGTCGGACCGGAACTCTCCCAAGGGTGCCAGCTCGGGGGGAGGATCATACAGGGAGGATTCCCTTTCTCCCGTAATTCATAACTCTCATCATAGGCCGAGTCACTCTCGGTCTAGCAGAGGTGAGTCCGATCATAGGACACATTCAGTGCCCCAAAGCCAACCATCGACTGTGCGCTCTCATTCCCATACTCGGCCGAGGACCCCTTTGGCGGGGCCCAGCTCGGAGGAGGTGGCAAGAGCACTGACAATGCTCATGGAGGCAATGAGGGCACAAAATATGCCACCACCTCGTGATCGTACTCCTCCGCATACCCAGCATCAACGGAGGAAGCTAGACCGTGATGGTGGGAAGCTTCCTTCCTCCCGGGAACTGGGAGAGTGGGAAGAGGATACCTGAAAAACTGAAAAAGAGAGGAAAAAGAACCCTCAATTTTCAAAGGATCCTCATCCTCCCGACCAGAAACGCATAAGAGCAGCAGCTCAGCTTCTTGGCCAGAATCTACTCACCGACAACGACCTGAGACTGTTCGCCGAAGCGTCCTCGACCGACTCGGCGGCAAGGAACTGAGCGTGCACAGTCGCCTCTCGTTCCCTGCGGCCGAGGCCCAAACTTTCCAGCCAGGGACGAAAACCACTCCTACCTCTCTAAGAGGGCGGAGCGCGGTCCCTTCGGCCAGGAACAAGGGCAAGGCCGTTATGCTACCCGCCAGTTCGCCATTCGAGCAATGGATACGAGCACGTGCCCACGGTTAAAAAACCGTCGCACATCACATATGACGGGACCTCGGATCCGAAGGACCACGTGGCCTCGTATGAGACTCATATGCATCTTTGCCCCAGATCCGAAGCGACTTGGTGCAAATATTTCCCAACCACTCGCAAGGGGGTCGCGCAAGCGTGGATCTCCAAGGGAGTAAAGCAAGGCTCCATAACAGGGTGGGATGATCTGTCCTCCAAATTTAGGAGCAAGTTTTCCACGGCAAACCGCCGAGAGAAGACTACTGCAGAACTCATGAGTCTGCAACAGGGGAAAACCGAAAGCCTCCGAGACTATCTGACCCGTTTCAGTAACGAGTCATCCAGCGTCTCTCAGCTGGACCAGGGGCTAGCCGTTTTTGCAATGCAGAATGGCCTTCAGCCCGGGAAGTTCCTAGACTTCATGGTCATGCATACCCCACAGACCTTGGAGGAAGCTCTGAATGCCTCGGATAAGTTCATCCGAGCCGAAGAATGGAACAAAGCGAAAACCCAACCTCAATTCGGGGGAGGGAAACAAAGACAAATACCCTTGTCTGAAGGCCAAGGCCATAAGGCAAAGGGAAAGTCAAAGTCCTCGGAGCAATCTTCGGCCAGCGACCCAAAGAAGGAAAAATCTGCCTCATACACAGGCAGATACGAGTCCTACACTCCGCTCTCTCTTCCACGCTGCAAAATTTACAGCGTGACGAAGGAGGAGCAGAGTTACCGAAAGCCGAGACCACTCCCAGAGTGGTATCAGCGAAAAAATAAAAATCAGTGGTGCGAGTTCCACGAGTCTCCGGGACACAACACTGAGGAGTGTATCCAACTGAAGGACCAGATAGAGGACATGGTCCGGAAGGGATACTTGAAAAAATACATCGCGGATCACCGCGAGAAAAAAGAGTCCGAGAAGTCAGCAAAGGACTCTCGGCAAGACCTCGACTTCCCCCGGAACGTCAGTAAAAAACCGGAGGGGAAATTCTCTCCGATCAATGTTATCTCGGGAGGAATATGCTCTCGGAGGGAGCACAAGCGACACCTTAGGGCTTTGACTCACCAGGT